AGCTTGTTGCTGACTATCAGAGCTCATGTATGACAAAATTGTGGATTGCCCATTAAAGCTCATAACTGTGTGTAAGATGTTGCAAAAATGCTGGCCAAAGCTAGAGCACATTCAATGATATTTTGTGTACATAAATAGTTTAAAGATTGGGTGCAAAGGAAGGCTTTATTTCTGGAGATGTAAGACTGTTGGTGCTCAGGAAACAAGATTTTATTTAGTCAGTGGCCACATCACTTGTCAGATGTAAAATATCAGTCAAAACGTACTTTATTTGAGTGGTATACTTCCATTTGGAAGTCAAACCTTCACAGAAATGACAAGAACCCTTGGGGTTGAAACATAAAATGGAGAGTATTGAAAAAAAGAAAGGAAGATAGAGTGAAAGATAGCTTTTGCTGGACGTTGTTTGTCAATATTACATGTTATTGTTTTTTATTTTTTTTTGTGTCTATTGACATTGACTTTCTTTTCTACTGTAGCTCACTGCACTGAACCAGTTGAGGAATATTTTCGGTTTAGGTATGCGAGAAGCAGAATCCATTAAACTGGAGGTTACCTCAAAAGTGTATCGCAGGCAACTTGCTCAAGCTGTATCTAGTGGTGATTTAGCTGCTGCTGATAGTAAAGCAGCTTATCTTCAGAACCTCTGTGAAGAGTTGCAGTTTGATGCGGAGAAGGCTGTTGAGATCCATGAAGGTAATAGTGGTTCAAATAAGTGGCAGCTCTCCTGTCTTTGCAACTTGCACGGGCTGGTTAAATATAAATATTCTACTATTTCCTTTAAAACTCTATCATGACATGCTTTTACTTTAGTGACTGTATGCTCTATGGTATAGGTCGCAATTAACAATTTGCAGAAAGTTCTCTTAAATGTATATTTCCTAATATAATAGTTGAGCAACTTGTCAAGATCATGTTTTTGATTTACAGAAATCTACCGGCAAAAGCTTCAGCAAGCTGTAGCTGATGGAGCACTAAGTGACGAGGTTGTTAAAGTGTTGGAAAAGTTACAGATTATGTTCTGCATTCCAAGGGAAACAGTTGAAGCAGCTCATGCAGACATCTGTGGTAGCTTATTTGAGAAGGTAACCACTGTTTGAATTCCATTGGTGTCGTTCTCTGTGATCAGATTGGAAGTACGGAAAACAGATGGAAGGCCATTTCCATCAGGGATTAAATGACCTGATGTTCCATTAATTACACATGGCTTGGCTGGTAAATTGGTAGAAAAGATAAAGTGTGCATCTGGCAAGCGTTTAAAATACATATTGATGTTCATAACTGGTAAAGTGTTTTTCAATCTTTACAACCTTGATTAGAGTTGATAGTCACTGAGATTTCTGATGAATGATGGAGTCATAAAGTACCAACATGTTATGACTAAAGTAGTGATGCCCTTTGTGTGCTTATTGGGAGAAACACTGCCAGCTTGTTTTCCAACAAAATGCTTACTTGTGGCTTTCTCAAAATGGTATTAAAATTTTCAGAATGTGTAGCTTTAAGAACTTCTAGTGTATTGTATTCATGTTCCGGATATAGGCCCTATTGTCTTGAATCGAAGATTTTTTTTCTATATAGTTGCAATGTCTACAGTTATACTGGCCTGATTCTTTTTCCAGGTTGTTAAGGAAGCAATTGCCGCTGGAGTCGATGGATATGATGCTGAAATCAAGAAATCCGTGAGAAAGGCTGCATTTGGTTTACGCTTAACTAGAGAGGTTGCTATGAATATAGCTAGCAAGGCAGTAAGTATCAGATCCTGGCTACATTTCACTTTACTTATTGCTTCAGAACCTTTTGTTTTATTGAACAAGCCCCGTGTTCTTCTGGTGTCAATCACGGTAATACCAGTAATAATTACCCTCCCATTTGCACTGCATATGTTCAGGTCCGTAAGATCTTTATTAGTTACATCCAAAGAGCACGAGCAGCTGGTAGCCGAACAGAATCTGCAAAAGAGCTCAAAAAGATGATTGCTTTCAACAGCTTGGTTGTGACAGAATTAGTGGCAGATATTAAAGGCGAGTCATCTGATACTCCACCTGCAGAGCCCCCTGTGGAAAAGGAAGAAAAAGTGGTTGATGAGGGCGAGGATGAGGAATGGGAGTTGTTGCAGTCACTTAGGAAAGTAAGACCTGGTAAAGAAAGTTTGGCAAAGAAAGGCCAGACAGAGATAAACCTTAAAGATGACCTACCAGAAAGGGACAGAACTGATCTTTACAAGACATATCTGCTTTATTGTATAACTGGAGAAGTGACCAATATCCCTCTGGGTACCCAATTCACCACAAAGAAGGATGATTCTGAATATGTATTGCTGAACCAACTGGGAGGCATACTTGGCTTGACTTCTAAGGAGATTGTTGAAGTACATAGAAGCTTAGCGGAGCAGGCCTTTAGGCAAAAGGCAGAGGTGATTTTAGCAGATGGACAATTGACAAAAGCCCGAATTGAGCAGCTCAACGAGTTGCAGAAGGATGTTGGCCTGCCGCCTCAGTATGCACAAAAGATTATTAAGGGCATTACAACAACTAAAATGGCAGCAGCTCTCGAAACAGCTGTTGCACAGGGGAGGCTTAGCATAAAGGAAATTAGGGAACTGAGAGAGGCTGGTGTTGAATTGGATACTATGATTTCTGAGAGCTTAAGAGAGAATCTTTTCAAAAAAACTGTAGATAGTATTTTCTCATCCGGTACTGGAGAGTTTGATGTAGAGGAAGTGTATGAGAAAATTCCTAAAGATCTAAACATCAATGTGGAGAAAGCTAAACGAGTTGTTCACGATCTTGCACGGAGTAGATTGTCAAATTCACTTATTCAAGCCGTGGCACTTCTTCGACAGAGAAATCATACTGGGGTGGTAAGAAAGCTTATTCTTGGAATCTCTTTGACTGGTTTTCTAATGTATTTGCGCTTGATATGTCTTAGATTTAATGCTTCTTCCTACTGTTTTAGGCATCCTCACTGAACGACTTGTTAGCCTGTGACAAGGCTGTTCCTTCTACCTCATTAACATGGGAGGTACCAGAGGAATTGGCTGATCTGTACGTTATATATCTGAAAAATGATCCAGCACCAGAAAAGTTGTCCAGATTACAGTATCTACTGAACATAAGTGATTCAACAGCAGAAGCTTTACAAGCAATGAAGGATAGAGCACTGCCAAATGGAAATGCTGCTGCTGGTGAGGAAGAGTTTGTATTTTGAAGGGTCCAACCACGTTAGGTTGTGACCCTGATTGAGTCACATTACTTCGCCCCTTTTTCCTTGTAGATGGAAAGGAAAAGATCACAATTTTGTTTGCCCATTAATGGGTTATAGGCTCGTAGTAATTTCTTGGCTTGAGTTGAAAATGCTTTGGGTTTGAAATGAAAAGAAAAAGAAGAGCCTCAACACGCACTTGTCAAATATCCTCACCTTTTTTTTTGGGGTTCCCCCTCTGTAAATTATATATTATGACAGATTTTTGGTATGATGGTACAGTGACTGATAATAAGCTTAAGGTTTTGTTTGATAACGCAATTCAGCATTTAAATTTAATGGATTTAGATCTTAACATGTTCAGATGTGTTTGATAATAAAAAATTGAACATGTAAATTAATTAACTGATACTGAATTTCTAATGCAAAATTTGCTTCTAAAATTAAGTGATTAGTTATTTACTTATTACTGAATGTGATATATATTCAAATATATTAGATGTAATACTTAATAATTTAATAAATTCAAACTTTAGATTTAAATTTTCAAATTTCAGTTTTATTAAACAAACCATAAATATCAAGAAAATCTTGTCTTGGAAGTTTGAAAAACCAGAATCTTGTCTATAAGCAGCTATAGGCTAGGTAAATAAATTTTAAACTAAAAAAAATTCGAGAACGAGATTAACTTATGCTCTTCTTTTATATGTGTATGCAGAAATTCACAGAACGATAAAAAGTCGGTAAATTTACGCTACCAATTGCTAATAAAATTCTGGGTTAAGCCTGCAAGTGGATACCACCTCATTGGAAATCTAAGAGTGCGAATAATTCAGATAGTATTTGCCGAGTGAAAGTCCCGGTTAAGAGTTGGGATAACATTTGTTTGCCCAGCCACCTACATCTAGTGTATTTGGTGGGCTTTATGTCATTCAGTCTACCCGAGAAGGTTCTAAAGTTTGGGGGCCTCGCAAAGCACATAATGGATATTCAACTGAACACACAGAAACTGAAGCTTAATTAAAGAAGCATAATACGTCTGACTAATGATGAGATTCTCTCGAGAAACCTGTGTTCACACCAACCCACCACGCCAACAACCTCATTCTAATACAAAATTTGTCAATTAATTCCAAGCATAAAAGTCCAAATATTAGTGCACCTTCTTTCTCTCCATTATCCAAACAATTTAGACTTTCCCCACCTGGTCTCAAACATGACATACAATCAAAGGGGTAACGTGCCATACAAATAAACTCTTCGGGCAGGTAGATGCGTGGTTATGTTACGTGCACCAATTACTATCACCATGTATATTAGCCAACCAAGAAATCTTTAAAACTCTACTTTGACGTAGGTTAAGAGATCAAATTTCTTGACCTGCATTCCAATATCTAAACTTTCTTGAAAATATTTCGTTAATGGGTGCGTAGGCACTTGTTTGAATCAGTGATGATTCATCGGATTTTCCTTGAATTCTTTAAGTTCCCTTCTCCTGCATAGAATCTATCGTGTCGAGAAAAAAAAATATCACCATGTATACTAATTCTATCAGCGTGTAAGTATAATCACTCTCAATCATAGAGAGATTTCCATAAAAAAAAAAGAGTTTCGTAAATCCATTTTTGTTAATAATGTTATCGTAATTAAGTATACTAAAGTGTGAAATACTCTAAGCTATTCGACTTGCTAATCAAATGAGAAGCTGTGAGGATTAGAAAGCCTGATATACTACAGTACTAAGACATCCAAATTAAGAGTGAGCGATCTAGTCCAATCCCGTCATTCTCAATGAATTGAAAAGCCATAAACATGATTATAAGTTGAAAACCACAGCATATTCCGACACAGACAGGCAAGTTTTGTGCGGATCTCGGTTTTGTCAAAGGGTATTCTCATTACTTATTCTTTTTAAAGTGTCTTTTAACTCCAAAATGGTGAATGACCGTGGACAGATTGTCAATGGGCTAGGTCTTTAAATCCCTTGGGTGACTCCTGCAGCATTGTCGTCAAACTTGGAGTTGCACATTTACAAATAGCTAGGCAATTAAGCCACATCCTTTCTCTCCTCTCTACTGGTTAATTACCATCGTCGTATTTGAATCATGGCAATAGAGCACTCATCAGTGAAGTGCAGCTTCGTCTACTCATCCTGTTTTCTAGTACTACTTGTCTTAAACTTCTCGTCAGCGCAATTGTCCGCAAATTTCTATGCAAAAACATGCCCCAAAGCTCTTTACACCATCAGAAATGTCGTCAGTAACGCCGTGGTCAAGGAGCATCGCATGGGGGCCTCCCTGCTCCGCCTTCATTTCCATGATTGCTTTGTCAATGCAAGTCCATCATCTCATCATCTCCTTCATGCGCGCCTTTTCTTGCATAAAATACATCCATGGTCTGGATGCATGCGTTTAGTTTTTTTTTTTTTTGGGAGAGGAAAGGGGGGGGGGGGGGTTGAGATCTTCTTGCATGCTTCATGTTCATAGTAGCTACGCATGGTTCTTGGTTGAATAACAAAGTGGAAGCAATTGCATGTTGTTGGTTAGTTTGAGTTCTTCATGCACGAGAGAGATTCACATGCATGCATAGTAGACCATAGAGCTCTATGAATCGTATCTTTATATTTTTTGTCAATAAATATTCTTCTCCAGAGGAAAAAAAAAATAGATAGTTTTAAAATCAAAAGTAATTTTTAGTCATTTAGCTACTGAGTCTGTAGCTTTTGTGCACAAATTTTATCAGGCGCACTTCTTTAATCTTTTGAAATTCCCATATGATAAGATCTTTTTTGATAAGAAATATGAAGCTTTGTTATGAAAACTGAAAATCAGCCATTACAACAGGCTTGCTTCTTGTACAACTTTATCTCAGGGTTAAGGGGAACTTTATTTTTCTTTTTTCTTTTTTCTGGCTGCTGTTTTAATTGATGGCGTGATACTTTATAGCAAAACAAGTTGCACGCCTTCGTGCCCCATCCACCGAACTACTCCATCGTCGTCTATAGCTTAACGCTGGATTAAAATCTCGCTCCCTCATCCCCTTCGATACATTACAATTAACAATTATGCTCCCTTTTGGTTTTATATAGTAATAATTACAAATGAATTGCATCAAGGGGAATAGTTATACGAATACAGTGAAATACCATGAGATAAAAGTGCCACACTCAAAAATTTAAAAAGGAAAAAAACCGCATTCCTGCTGGTGCTTAGAATCATTAATGCGTGTGGTTCATTTGTAGGGATGTGATGCTTCAGTTTTGCTGGATGATACTTCAAGTTTCACTGGAGAAAAGGGGGCTGGTGCAAATGTAAACTCTTTGAGGGGTTTTGACGTAATTGACACCGTTAAAACTCAGCTAGAGAGCATATGTCCGGGTGTAGTTTCTTGTGCAGATATTCTGGCTGTTGCGGCAAGAGATTCAGTTGTTGCTGTAAGCATCTTCCCCATATATGATCATTTGGAAATCTTTCTAAAATTCGAATATGTTCTATGTGTACCCTGGATTCTAACAATTTAATGAGTTTCAAGTTTATTTCTTTCATATGGCTACAAAAAAGAAAAGAAAAAAAAAGGTTCACTTTGATTGTGTAGAGTTACAAAATCAAGTACGTAGAGGTGTGCTGTTGTTCGTTGACTATGAGATTGTGTTGATTAATGATCAGTTGGGTGGACCGACATGGAACGTTCAATTAGGCAGAAGAGACTCTACCACGGCAAGTCTTGATGATGCAAACAAAGTTGCCAACATTCCATCGCCTGCAATGGATCTCAGTGACATTATAACCGTCTTTACCAACAAGGGTTTCACCACTAAAGAAATGGTTGCCCTTTTGGGTACGTAAGAAACTCGACTAAGTATGCTGAGTGAAACATGAACACATTTATTCTTAACAAGACTGACAATTTCATTTTTCTGCAGAAAGTTTAGATTTTCTCTTCTGGGGTTAGTCATTATTGGAGGGTTTTTTAGTTTTTATTTTTCAAAATACAATCATGAAGAATTTAATCTTGTCTCAAGTCCCGCCATGACCAATTCAAGAACTCGATTTGTTGGTATAGGCATCAATTCTTTACCTCAACGTTTGGTCTGGCATGGAAAATGAAAGAAAAAAGACAATTATATATCTTGTGACCGCACAACGTTTGGATTTGGATTTCAATTCTATTCTTAATCTGCATGTGCTTCAAAAGACTTGCACTCTCTTTCTGTCCTGCCAAACTAAAATGACAAATAGATACAAGGGAATCACGTTCATTTCCCATTCAATAGTATTCAAGAATCTATATATTTGTATGCAGGATCTCACACAATAGGCCAAGCCAGATGCTTAACATTTCGCAATCGCGTCTACAACGAGACTCTGATTGATGCATCATTCGCTACTTCACTGAAAACTAATTGTCCTATCACACTTGGTGATGACAACCTTACTGCACTGGACGCCAGCTCCCCGATTCTATTTGACAACGGTTATTTCCATAATCTTGTTAAAAACGAAGGCCTTCTACATTCGGACCAACAACTCTTCAGTGGTGGGTCCACGGATTCTCAAGTTAGTGCTTATCGAGCCAACTTTATCACTTTCTTTGTCGATTTCGCCAATGCAATCCTCAAAATGGGAAATCTCAGCCCACTTACCGGTAACAATGGCGAGATCAGAACTAATTGCAGGAAAGTCAATTGATTTGGCTTTGGTTTAAAAGATGCCTATACTGTTGTAAGTGCAGTAGTTGATAATGCAATGAATAAAGTGCTATCTGGAAACTCTAGGTGCAAGGCAAGAAAAACTTTCTTTCAATCTTGTAGCGGGGCTTTCTGGATATTTCAAACTTATAATTTGGTGTGTTGCGGTTGCAATGTAAAACTTTGTTCAATCTTATCTTTCTTAAGTTGTTCCTTGGGAGTGATTTTGAATTTTTTGTGGTGTACTTGTTCAAATGCATGTCAGTCACTTTTTTGTCTTTTTTCTTTCTTTTAGTTGATATAAATTATTGCTACTTTGAAAGGAAATTTTGACTTCTTGAATTTACTAAAGAAGGATGTAAGCACAAGGAGATTTGTTATCACTTTAAACAAAGAATTAGAATTTTGCCAGTGTCTTAGCACGGTCTTTTTTTTATTTATTATGAATTTATACAAATATGAATAATTTAAATACAAAAATTAACAACAATTATACATGTTCATTCATATTAATTTTTAAAAAATTAATGTATTCTAAATGTTCAATTATTTACTAATTTTTAAAAATTTGTCTACATACTTTCACTATAATATACTAGTATACATCAAATAATGTATCTCATATAAAAAACTTGGTAAATATTCTTTTTTTTTTATAAATATTCTTTTAGATAATTTAAATTTTTCTAATGACCATAAACTTAGAACTATATATTCGCATTTAATTAAGTAGAAAAGATCCAACAATCCACTTTTTTCATTAATAAATATTTAGTTTCAAACAATATTGGTAAATCTGTCAGTGTAATAGTTAATTCTCTATTTTACAGTAAGTTAATTCAAAATTAAGGAAAGAGATGATGAACAATTTGAATACTAATCAATGATATAGTGGTGAAATGAAATAATTTATGGAATATGTAACATTTCAATAATTGTGATTTGAAAGAGGTTTTACTATAGTTCTATATATAATAATTTGATAGAAAGCAAAATCATTAATATAAAATTAGTTGATTTTTAAAGCAATGTCATTAAGATAAGATTAGTTATTTTTTAAAGTTACTTTAAAATTAGAGATAATTTTTAAACATATAATATAGTCCAAATAGGATTCAATATGGGTAAAACCCAAGTGATCTATAACCCGTTAATTTTCTTCAATTAGACATGGTACATAGGAGTGAAAAATAACTCTGATTAAAATATCTACTTTCATATATATATATATATATATATATATATATATATAGCACTTCAAATTGCTTCCGTCCAATAGGACATACATTTCAAACAATTCTCTCAAGCAATAATGGTGAAAAGAATTGCTTACTTAGGGAATGATAAACAATAAACAACCTCAAATCACATTCTCAAATTTAATGAAAATAAGAGAGCATATATAAAATAGCAACGTTAGGTAATCTCTTAGTTGACCCTTCTGCAATTCTGCCTGATCTGACCATTTTGGCCAGTGAGTGGCTTCAAATTGCCCATCTTGATCATAGAGGCGCCAAAATCAGCCCAAAATGCCTCGGGGTTGTTACTGTAGAGTGTCACTAGGCCATCCGTTTCACTTCCATCATTTTTAAAGAGCTCTTGATCAGAGTGAAGAAGACCTTTAAATTGCAACAAATCCTTGAAGTAGACAGTGTCAAATAATGTTGTAGTGGAGTCAAGAGGGTTGGTATTATTATTTTGAGCTTCAGCATTAGGGCATCCCTTCTGCAATGAGGCTCTAAAATCAGAATCGATATTTGTGTCATTGGTTATCCTGGGCAGGTAGATACCGCACCGTGCAACACCGATGGTATGGCCACCGGACAGGACCACCAGATCTTGTAAATTCAGCCCATGATTTTGGAAATTGGACAAAAGGGCTTGGAGGTTCGAAGATGGAGGGGGGATATCGTTATTAGCATCGTTGAAGCTGGCGGTTGTTGCATCTCTTCTGCCTAGTAAAACTTGGTAGGCTGGACCTCCAAACTGGAAACATAATTAAAAAGTAGTTACAAGAATGTGATCAGACATAAGCACGTAAATTTGACGCAAAAGAAGTATAACTGTGAATTTACAATGTTTACGGAGTCCCTAGCTGCAACTGCGACGATATCAGCACACGAGACTACGTTGCCATGGCATACTGAGTTCAACTCTGATTTGATTTGGTCGACCACATCAAATCCTCTCAGGGAATTAAGATTGGGACCGGCTGTTTTTTCTCCTGTGAAAGTTGGGGTATCATCTAATAGATTTGATCCGTCACAACCCTGGCACCAGACAATGAAATTTTGTATATCAATCTAACCATGTGAATTATGGTACTCCAGAAAAACTTTTTGATCAGTAAGAAGATATGTACAACATTTAACGTATATGATCTAGCTAGCTTAGGAACTACATACTACTAAAAAACTTACGTTGACAAAACAATCGTGAAAATGTAAGCGAAGCAGCGACGCACCCATGCGTGGCTCCTGCTGAATTGCTTGCTCAACAACGCCTCTGATCGTGGGCAAAGCATCTGGGCACACATGCTCATAGAAATCAGGAGTAAGTTGTGCACAAGTATGCGTAAATGCAATAATAGCAGCAACCGTCAAACACAATGGAGAACATTGGAATCTAGACATTGTGGTTATTAGCGATCGAGGAAGAAATTTCAGTCAATTTATCGGGTGCCTCTTTCTTGGAGATTGGTAAGAGAGTACTGGGGTCATATTTATAGTAATCTCAAGATATACGCTTTTCAGCCCTAATGGCTGTTGTCAAAGTTGTTATAGTAATTATTAAATTTTTCTTCAAGGTAAATATTATAGTATTAGACCAGTTCATTTCTTCCAGTAGTGGATAATTGACCATGGCCTTCTTGTTAAATTTGCTCACCAAAAATCTTTTTAGATTTTGGCTTTGCTTCGTCGCGTGATATGACCCGGATGTATCTACCTGCCCCGCGTAGATTCCATGCAAACAATCTCAGAATATCATTATTTTTACTTACTAATCGATCATTGGCTGCAGCGAGCAAATGCTAGGCAGGTAATTGAAAGAGTAAATGACTGAGGAGTTAATTTGTGCGACGATCACGTCTTAATCTTAATTTCTTGTCGAAAATAATGTAGCAGTTGTTTCATTGACCTTACAGGAGCAGTAGAATATTCTAAATCTTGCTAAATCAGAATCCCAAGTTTGCAGATGAAAATTTTTAAAGTTCAACGTAAAACTTGATGCATAAACAATTTAAGATTTGGTGGATGTAAGCTTCTTAATTAGGTGTCTTGAAGACTTTAAGTTCCAAGTAAATGCTTTGACTTTGTTCCAAAATAGCCAAATGGAATCGCATGCAAAACAATTTCTGGATAGCCACATTAATCGCATCACACATCCGGCCAATTGTTTGGCGTCGCCCCGTGCGACATGATGAACTTTGCAAATTACTTTCGGTGGATCGATCAGAGGGTGATACACAGTCTTGGAGCGTTTACACATGAAATGAGAAAGATGTCGACGAATTCCATCTGCGAAACTAAACAACTGGTGAAGCTACTTCAGCCACAACTTTTAACTGCTCCTTTCTTTATTTCTTTTTAATTTTCATAGTTGTTTGAAAGTTTCTGAGCTCTACATAACTCTTTTATGATTTAGATTACATTATCAAAATGAAGCGCATTTACATTTTATAATGGAGTCAACTAAAATGTCAAAAGAACCCTTATGTAAAGTTAAAAATTATTTAGTAACCACAAGGGATCATGTATATATTTTCAAAATTATAAGGAGGTTATGTGGTAAAACACAAATTCATAAAAGGAGTTAAAGTGTCATGCATATTATGTTTATATATTTTGATCACTTTAGCCATTTTAATTTTTAAACAAGAGTAATCTCTATATTTCTATAGGCTCCGTTACAGAGGATCATTTCCCTTATTTTAACATTTTAGTTAAGATCACAAGGCGGTTATTTATAATTTTTGAAACTATAGGAGGTCATGTGAAAAATCGGTAAATTACACAAGGGTAAAGTGTATTTTACCTTTTGAGAAAGAACGAGGTTCATCAAGTGGTTGGTATTACCCTTTTTTTTCATAATATACCCGAATTTTACCCTCACTAGTATTTTCCTTAACATTGTTCCTCACTTTTTTTGTAAGTGTTCTTTATTAGTAGTATTATTGCACCGCCTTGCTTCTCTTTCCTAGGATATAGTTACGTGATATGCCCAACAAAAGGGAAAAGAAAAACTCATCTTTGAGAATGGCATTTGAAGACTTCCTAAAAATATCATATTGAAAAGAGGGATAACGGCAGGTAGAACCGAAATCCACCGACTTGTTATTTTACAGATTTTGAATTACTTCTTGTGATTAGGATTTCATATTCTTGACCTTTTCAGCACAAACTAACAGAAATCAATCCATGATCATTTCACTATTTTTTATGTTTAATAGAAGTTTGAAGTTTGAACCACTACTTTTTGAAGCAGTACTTCATACCTAATGTTGGACCCCGGCCGGTCGCTGCATATAATAATAAGTCTTGAAGGGCTAATACTTGAGCTATTTGGCCAATGTGCCTTGGAAATCACTGGAGAAAACCAGGTTAATTAATAACATTCAGTTTGAGAATGAGCTAATAATTAGTCATATTTATTTTAATATGTGATGCATGGAAAACGTTTTGCTGGCTTGTGAATGTCATGACAAGTGGCGTTTGAAGAATTATAGGTACGTAGTGATTTGCTTCAAAACTCACAGTATATCATCATATGCATGTACGATTGCAAGTTCCAATTTGAATTTGGGATGCTCATCGAGGACTGAAAGAATAATTCGATCTAGCTATCATTTAAAGACAGAATGCATGATGAAATAATTCGATGTAGCTATCATTTAAAGAGAGAATGCCTGATTTATCGTGGGACGCGAACTGTCGAATATTATTGAATTTATTTCTTTTTCCCACGAATATTTTTATGTGCGTAAAATGTCTCCTCTCGTGTTATGTTGGTATGAACCAAATCACTTCATACGTGTTCTTTCGTCGTTTTTATTTTTTTTTAAAATTTTTTTTGTAAGCTCCTTCTATTATTGATTAAGCATACACGAGCGAGGTGAACGCCCAAACCAGTACAAAAGTATTATTCAGTATCAGAACCACAGAATTCAACCAGTTCCAGCCATCTAACTAACTGAAAAGACAGAAAAATTCACTCTCAATGCATTATGCAGAATGCACATTCTCCTGCATCTTCTGGTCCACCCCTCTCCGTTCAGCAGCAACAACCATGCAAACATCTGCCATATTATATATGTGCTCTTTCTTGTAACAACTGCCTGGAATATATATACCACTCCATTTCCCTATGCGCCACCGACAGTTTTATTTGCTGCAGCCAGGAATGTATAATAGTTTTGTCGGCCCTAGTTTTGTTTCCTCTAATAAATTGACTTGGCTACAACTACAAAGGGAAAAGGAAATTTTGGTTTTTGCTGGGTGCAATATCACATTTAGTTACAAATTGAGTGCTTTAGGAAATGGCTGCGGATCAGGTTTTATTATGTAGTCCATAATACTTGCATGTATATTTAGTCCATATATTATTATGTTTATGTAGTAGCACTACTACGTGTTAGTACAAATTTATACTATCAGCAAGTGCTCAAGATTTTACCATTACAAAGTCTTTGCTCTTACACAGGGAAGAAAAAAGGGCCATGGCTAGCCTTCAAAGTTCAAATACTTGCATAAATCACCTATTTTGAGTCCAAGCATTTGTTTTAGCACTTCATACGTACGGCACAATAAGTCCCTTAATCTAAAATTAGAAAATAAATTGATCAGACCAAAAAATCTTGTTTTAATTTGATATTTTTGCCTTATGATGGTGTGACAGGTGGAACAAAAAGCTGCCGAAGTAGTTAAGCTGTAATTTTCATCGGGGACAAGAGTTATCAAAAGAAGGAAGAAAAAAAGAACATGACCATCTTCTACAGTTGCTTAATTTTTCGAGGCTATTAATCAAGAACTACTAGTCGTCAATACAAGTCTAATCGGGGGCATGCGTCCTAGACACCTAGATTCTCATATTATAAAGGAGATAACATCAAGGATTAGGTGTTGACAACGTTGCTACTTGCTACCAAATAGAAAATTCAAAAGCAGCCAAAGTTTGCTTGAGCTTCTTTCTTTCTTGCTTTCTTTTTTTTTTTTAAAAAAAAATAAGGCTGCTTAGTTTATTAACAAGAAAGTGTGTGGTATGAATGTAGATTTCCATTCATTCATCGACTTCCCTTGCTTAATTGGATGAACAAAATCGGGTTAGAGAAATTGAGTTCCTGCTCTGATCGTGCCAAATTTAAAAGTTGAATGAATAGCCAAAATAACCATCAACACATCTGTTGCAGTGATGCACTCTACTGTTTTCATGAGACCAATCAAAACTCATCTTATGGACTCGGGGGGACTTTGTTTTCCTAATTACATTAGGATAATAAGATTAAAAAAAAAGAAAAGCTCATAAATAATTAATTAGCATGATAGTCTTGGATACAACAACTGTCGGCAGTTGGCAACTGATCAAGTAATGCATGTTCTTCTTTAATTATCGTAAACGTTGAACCGAAGAAGTGAAGATTACCTGAATTAATGATTTGAAACTACATTTTCCTTGTTTTTTTTTTTTAAACATGATTTGGAATATCCAATTAAGGAACCAAAAGGCATTTGGTTTTGAACGAAAAAAAGTTGCCGTCAGCCGTCGGCCGTCGCCTCTATTTCAATGGTGAACCTAATTCATGTATGTCTACGCTATTGCGAGTCTATCTTGGCAATCGCATGATCACGCTTGACCTTATAAATCATCACATTACTGGTTTGCTTTTCTTTTTACTTGTTTACAGCGACGGGATCAATCATAAAATTATGCACATATCATAGTTAAGCACGTAAGCTCATCCAATCATACTCAGTAGAACCCTTTTGTATTCATGAAATTATGCACATATCAAACCAGTGTGGATCCAAGGCACGTACATGAAGGATCTGACACCCCCACGCTTCTTCAAGAAATTAAGTAATTGAGAATTTTAAAGGTAGTACTCCCAATTGACATGATACTTATGCAGTTATTAAATTATTATTTTATTATTCTACCCTTCTATCCTGCTTTTAAAATCTTGTTTATATGATCGATTTGACTAACTAGTACTTAATGGGCATTCGTTAAGAGGTGATTCGGATGTTGATCTTTTGAAAAAGTGTAATTAATTTGAGAAAGCGTCTAAATGCGGGAGGTGCACTAATTGTGAGTGCGTGCATGCGTGTATTAACATGGTAAGTTAGTTGTGATTTAGCTGTGGTAAAAATCCTTAAGATAAACTCTTTTAAGCATATGAAGAAAGGGCCTGACGCAAAAAGAAAAAACAAGGCCGTGTAATTTTCTGTGCACTTTGAAAAAATAACTAAATTACCAATTAATCATACTTCTTAATTTTCTATTTATCCATTTTTTCGAGCTTAGCCCAAAAACTTAGAGGTGAAATATCTGAATATTAGTAAAAGAGAACATGGTCGCGGCCAATTTCTTCAAACACATTTACTGAAATTAACACACTTTTTTTTTTTTTTTTTGAGGTTTCGCCCATGGTTAGACGGTCGTAACAGTAATTTTGAAGAAAAACATTTATGAGCTAGCCCTAAGATTGTTGTCTTCGTTTAAACGGTTACCCCCACCGATTTTCTGGATATTCTTTCTGGATAAGGTAATCCTCAATACGAAGCTTTATTTGACAGATTAAAACTTACAGGAGTATTAAATGATAGCCTCATTCAATTGCTTGGCTAGTAGGCTGATGCCAACACTCCACCTCTCTTACCTTTGAATAGTAAGCGGCAAAGACTTCCCGAAACAAACCAAAAATTTTCCATCAACCTATATTGATTAAGCATACTGACAAGACAAAAATGGACCAAAGTTCACTATGCGGGAAAAGTGTTGCTTTCGAAAAGTCTCAATTGTTTCACGAGGTTAAAGATAATTTTCGAGCTGTCCAAATATCCTTGATGACTTGTCTGAAACATACATATCCTTTTAAGAAACAGTAACTTGTAAAAGCATGTAAAACTTCAACGAGTTACTAATTCTATAAGCCCATTGAACAGTTTTCTCTTTATTATCGTAGTTAATTATAGAGGGGGGGGCATATTCTTCCGTCATAGTTTTGGCTTGGTGAAATTAAAGGATGAAAAGGACGCTTAAGACTGATTAAAGTATCACGCAGCTGACGAGCAAAAGTTCTCGAGTACTTATCCTCTATGAATGGCTGCTTTAACGGTCCCAAAAGGTTGCTGAACTGTCTACGATGTTCTACGTGAAGATGTCCCATCCTGCATGGAGTTTTCTTGGTTAGAATATACTATCAAAAAAGCAAAAGGCATGCGTAACAGACAAAACTTGACAGATTGCTCTACCTACCACTTTCCATCCCAAGCCAATCAACCAATAATTCTTTTCTTTTTTATTTTTCCTTTTTCAATTCAAGAATTACTTTCTAATTCTTACAGCTGAAAGAAAAAGAAAAAAACTGAACCATTTCATTTCACGTGCATATATTATCAATCAGTATCCAATTCCAAGTCTGCTTCTTTTTTGGCTCTGTTAATTTTAGTTTTGCTTTCACTCTTTGTAAAATATGGTAAAATTTTCAGTTACATGCAGTAGTCTAAATTGTTAGGCGAGATGCCTGCGCCAAACAACATCCCCTAGGAGTCTATATAAACTGCAGGTGTATGTGACTCAACTACAAGCTTCAAAAATATCGACTTGTTACCAAAACTTGAAATGGCGTCCTCATCTAATTATTGCCGTAATTCCTTTACTATGGTCAGTGTCACGTTACTTATGGTTATGTGCTCAATGATGAGTTTTGCCTCTGCCCAACTCTCGACTAGCTTCTATTCTAAGAGTTGTCCGAAAGTGATTGGTACCATAAGATCAGAAGTTCATTCAGCCGTGTCCAAGGAAAGAAGAATGGGGGCTTCGCTTGTTCGGCTCTTCTTTCATGATTGTTTTGTCCAAGTAATATTTCCAGCATTTGATTTCATGATTTCTGTCCATCAAAAATCTCTTTAGACTTCTTCAAATATTCCAAACAACTTTTTTTTTTAAAACGATGGATAATCGACTTCAAAATGTTCTTTAATGCGTGAGGGCACCCCCAAAGTCCCCAACCATGCACGGCAACACCACAAGAACCAACGATTCTGATGGGGGTTAATTACTATAATCAGTTCGATTTCATCCAAAAGTTAATGACAAGAATCAGATATATGTAATCCTCATATATGCAACCATATAATACCAGTATTAAAGTCTGCCAGGTGCATGAATGATGTTTTTTTCAGGGATGCGATGCATCTATACTCCTAGACGACACTTCTTCTTTCAAGGGGGAAAAGACTGCTTTTCCCAACATTAATTCGATACGAGGATTCGGTGTAATTGATGACATCAAGAAAAAGGTAGAAAAAGTTTGTCCAGGTGTAGTGTCCTGCGCCGATATTGTTGCCATTGCTGCTCGTGATTCCGTTGTCATTGTAAGTCTACATATGCATATGGTATCCTCCTCCTCCTCTTCCCCCCCCCCCCCCCCCCAAAAACAAAAACAAAAACTTCCATTGCTCATAAAGTTCCTATATTTCACTGTTTTTATTATTTTTCATTGGATCATCATATCAGCTTGGAGGACCTAGTTGGGATGTCAAACTTGGGAGAAGGGACTCCAAAACGGCCAGCCTTTCTCAAGCCAATAGTGGCCGTCTTCCGGGTCCAACATCTACTCTCGCTAACCTCATTAATAGGTTTCAAGCCGTCGGCCTCTCAGCAAAGGATATGGTCGCCTTGTCTGGTACTCATTTCTCCATACTTCCGCCATTTCTTTTCTTTTCTTTTTCTCCTTTTACCTTTTTACCACTTAGGATTGGCACCGACGTTCTCATGCAACAAATGACTAATTACAAGCAAGAAGTTAAATACTACTAACAATGAATTAGGGTCTCATGAGTTGAGTTGTATCCAATTCAAATCAGTTTATGTAATTTGTATAATTTTTAGTGTAAATCCTTACAATTTGGCTCATACAATTAATTTGGAGAACTATACAGACCACTTGAATGCTAATATTTTGGTCAATCTCTAAAATGCCTGCCTTGTATGTTTGGTGTTACTAACAACAGGAGCGCACACCATCGGGCAAGCGAGATGTACCAACTTCCGGACTCGTATATACAACGAGACCAATATAGACACTTCTTTTGCTAAAACCAGACGGAGTCAATGTCCCGCAACCGTCGGCCGAGGAAACAACAATTTGGCTCCATTAGACCTTCAAACTCCTACTGGTTTTGACACCAAATACTTCCAGAACCTTATCCACAAGAGGGGCCTCCTACACTCTGATCAAGTTTTATACAACGGCGGCTCCACCGATTCGTTGGTCGAAAAGTACAGCAAGGATTCGAAGACCTTCAACTCTGATTTTGTGAAAGCAATGATCAAGATGGGAGATATTAATCCTCTTACGCGATCTCAAGGCCAGATAAGGAAAAACTGTAGGAAGCTGAACTGATTGATCATAGCATCAATTGCACGTGGTGATTAATTTGTGTGTAGGACGTTGTTTTAAGTTTTGATTGAGTTTTGGGAAGTCTTTCTTCCTTGGTTTGTGTTTTTTTCCCCCCACCAAGCGTTCAATTCGTCTTTTTCTATCCTCTTTTTCGAAGTAAGTTGTACTTACCATTCCGTATTCTGGAGGCCAAAGAGGCAACCAAGTGAGTATAGTTATTTTAATTTCTACTTCAATGTATTGCTTTGAAGAAAGAAAAATACGTATTACTAGTGATTTTACAAAATTTAAATAGTTTTATATTAGATGAATTGAGACTTGTGACAGCATATCCAACTTATAAATTTTGCATGTTTTTCAATTTTTCTTTTGATTAATCATATGGTCGCTTTTTAGGTTTAAAGTTTTGGATGCCAGCTCAAAGTGTAGGAATAGAGTTCTAGGCCATGTACATGATTGAATCTCAACAGGATCATCGTTGCCAAGAATTGTGTCGTCTTTTTTTTTTTTGATAAAAAGCAAATTTCGTGAATGAATTGCTGAAAATCGTCATGCATAATTTGATTTACATCATTATTAATGATAGGTTAAACACGTATTAGAAATAACATATTTGCAATTTAACAGATTCAATATATCTAAAAAATGTTAACATATTTGAAAAATACAAGAAATAAATTATTATAATTTTCTTGTGTGGATATTGCAATCGCCAAATCTGCTAATCAACAATTTTAAGCTTTTGTCGAAATAAATCCAAGATCCAAAAAGTTTCAAATTTGACAATCAGATTTGAAATAAATTCAAATCTAATAACAAAATAAAAAAAACCAAAAACAAAAATATTCTTAGTGAAAAAAAATGAAATAATGTATTGGTTCCGAAAATTGCTACAGTAGCAGAGAGTAGATATATGATTTAATGCCACGTCAAGTTATGGATTCAGTGAGCAAATGGGGCACTCAAAACATTGGGCCTTTTGAGTAAGAAACGGGGTAATTAGTCCTAGATTTGTCACCACTTGGAAAGAGTCTACTATTGGAAGTACCCTGTAGAAATTAAGGGCTCCCCTAACAGTACCTATCCGTCGATCGCCAAGCCACGCCAAACACCCGATGGGACTTCACATGGGCCTATTGAGCCCAATAAAAAACAACTTTTATTTTCATTTGATTTTTCTATCTAAAGCTCATATAAATAAGCTAACTCTATAAACCGCTTTTAAAATCATTCTTAAATTTCTACTTTTCAAAAAAAAAAATCCTTAAATTCGTGAGCAACATTTTTAACACTGACCTTTCTACAAGTAATTCTAGAAAGCAGAAAGCAAACTAGACTAGGCCTCACTTCTATCACAAAAGCTGTGATAAAAGATTTAGATTCTTCCATGTTGCCTGGCAGGAAATAGATGGGATGTGTAAGTAAGCTAGGACTGCAAACAATGGCGGAGCCAGAAAAAAATCTTAGTGGGACAAAAATAACACTAAAATTTTTTATTTACTCTTTTTTTAGTTTTTTAAGTAAAAAATAATAATAATAAATTCATCAACAAGTACAAATGATACGTATATTCCATGAAAAACATAAAAAGACAAACTCAAAATTATTAATGTAATAATAATTTTATTTCAAAAACAAACTAAACTATTTACAATTGCTCACGACGAGTTTTCATATTTTGATAACGGTTTATAACTTTCTCATTTTAAATTTCACGAAATATATTTTTCTCAATATAAGTAACAAAACTAAATTTTGTGACCCATTCTTTCACATCTTTTCTAAAAAAACTCGGGAGCACACTTAAAATTATGTCAAAATTGTACAAGTAATATAGAAATTTAAGGGGGCCTGTGCCCCCGCCTCAAATCCGCCCCTGACTGCAAACGAATTGAGTCCAATCGATTTTGATGAACATCGAGCTCGAGTCAAGATTGAGTTAATCAAGTCGAACTCGAGTTCAAAAATATTCAACTCGTTAACTCGCGAATCGGCTCAATTATATATATATATTTTTTAATAGTAAAATTACATATATATCCATAATATTTTATTATTTATTAAAAAATTATTATTTTATTCATTTTTAAAAAAATATAATAATTTTTTTTAATTTTTAAGCTCGAACTCAAGCTTTACATTTTGAGCTCGTCGAGCTTGAGTTTTATAAGACTAAGTTGAAATTCGATTCTATTCGGCTCGTTTGCACCCCTAAATGAGCAAAGATTTTTGGATTTTTGAAGATTTCCCCTTAGATGACTAGAGGGGGTGGAGCTTAATTAGATGATCTAAACAACCGTTGATATACCAATTAGTATATAATTAAGGGCAGCACTATCGGTACAAGTGCCGACTCGGCTAATAGAGTCTGAACTCTAAACCACACTTAAATCACTAATCAACGCTGTATAACTTCTAAACACGTTTCTGTGCTTATTTCAGTTCTTTGTTGAATGTGATCTGTCCATCGACCAGAGCCAGTCAACATTACCAAACATGAACCTGACTTCTGGTTGTGTTTAATCTGAAAAAAAAAAAAAAACAAAAGGCAAAAAGGGAACAGAGGATTGAGAAGCTGGGAAATTTGGAAGCTCTTGAAGTACATTTTACTTGCCCCTATCTGTTGCTCCATTTAATTACATTTCTTTCTTTTTATTGGACACAAGGGTTTTTCCAAGTGATAAATAAATGCATTTTTTTTTTAAATGTTGACCTTTCTAATTTATTCTATTACTTTATAAATCTCTGAGCAGTGGTGTGAGCCTTTGGGGAGAACATTTAGTTAAATTAAGGGTGTGTTTAGATTGGCATTATTTACAAAAATATATATATATATATATATACTTGTCGTATCATATCACAAACATATTTTTCAATCATCTTTCCTTTTATCTTGCGTATATCATATCATAAAAAAAAATTACAGTAATTATTCTAAATATCACACCCTAACTTCTTTTAGTTGCCCTCGCAGAAATATGAGAAATTTGGATTGGTGTTTGACCATACAAAATAAATAAAACGACAAGCTAAAAAGCCACTACTGCTTCAAGCAACCATGACGTGAAAACAAATTCCATCTTAATTCCAGACGCTCCTCTCAAAGCCAAATTGGAATAAAACTGTAAATACACGTAGTATTACGTACAGCTTCCGCTAACTTTCTAGCAAGAGCATGGTGTGCCCAATATTAAAATCCAATGCCTGCTACTACACCTATCACTCCTACTCCTACTCTGGATGAGCTCCACACGCCAAGAAAACTCTCTAACAATTATGCCACTAATCAATAGTACTAAAGCCTTGGATGTGGGCAGTTTCGTTGACAACCCAATTAATTAGCACATAGTATAATTTACACAAAGCAATTGATATGGGGTTTTGGAGATCCTTAATTAATTTGTATCTCTCTCCCTTGTGAAATGGATCCCTATCACAAACATATGCATTCTGTTTTTCAACAGCAGCCAATTTGGAACCACCTTTCAATACAGCTGTTATAAACAGGAGGAAAAAAAAACACTGAATCTATATATATATATATATTAGTAATTTAGTACTGTTATGTACTTGCAATTATTGAAGCATTCATCTGTGCATATATACTTTTTGCAAGAATTGCCTTCCTCTTGATTCACCTTTAGAAATTCAGAACTAAGATAGTGGTCGGAGCAGTTGATGACACTTGTTTTTGGGCATGATGAGCCTGATACTTGCTTGCCCAGAAACCGGATTGACAGTGAAGGATATGATGCTTACCTTTCAACCAAATTGTACAGAGACCCCAGTGGTGAGTCTTTCTTGTCAATCCATCAAGTATCACACAATTAATGTAGTGAATATACCAGAAATTTGCCAAATTGGAATTTTTTTTTATACGTATTCTTTTACCTACGAGAGAACAAGATATATAGGATCCAATAGGAGAGTAAGAGATATTGCGACTTCTTTAATATTACTCGGAATACGCCATAACCCAATCAATGAACCAAACAAAATACGAAAGCAAACGAAATGACTTCTTCGGCACAATCACACGCACTCCAGTGTGAGTGGTAATGCAATTAAATACGAAAAAATAATCTGAAAAGGACAGAACCCCATAATAAGTAAATCCTATATAAATTACAAACAAAAAAAAATTGGAGAGATGACGAACAAGAATATAACACATTGCCAGAGCATTTTCTGTCATATATACCACCACAGCCACAGCCACAGCCACACCAACTTAGTACGATACCTTAGATGCGAGTTCAGTACTCGCGTAGAACAAGCTTGCTGTAGCTAAATCCTGGGCAATAAGTAGCATAAATTTTTTCACATTCCAGGCAAAAAAAAAAAAAAAAAGAACAAGAATCTAAACTACAAAAATCTATTGGGAGAATAATGATATAAAATTCACAATACGAAAACAAAAAGGAGGAAAATAATATAACGTTACGGCACTGCAATTCTGACCGGAACTCGGGGTCATGTTTCTGATCTTGCACATGTACAATACTTTTTGTCTCCTCTCTGGAGTCTCTGGCATTCCTTAATCTTGAAGTTCCTTTAACGGGCACAGACTTGCATGTATGAGCAGCAGAGAGTTTCAGACTTCCAATTTGTAGTTCACTACTGAGGGCATTGTCCTTGTACCCCACACGTGCAAGCTCCCATTCGATCTTCGCGTGTTTGAAGTTTTTGAAACCAGGGGAAAGAAAGGCCTCCTCGGAAAATTAAGGCAAGCTAGCTCTCGGAAATTCAGAATTTTCATTCTGGGAACCAGCTAGTTTCCATTTGGATTTTTTTTCTTTAGTTACAGAAACCTGGTCTGATACTATCAACTCCAACCCCAAAGGGACGGCAAATACGGAAAGCCCAGTAGATGTATAAAGGGTGGAGTTTCCTTCAGAAACCCTAATGAAGGTCAGTAGTTGCAGGTACCGATAGTTTAACAAGAATTTGTCTCTTCAAGAAAAGTTCTTTTTGAACGAGAAAAGAAAAACAAAAACACAAAGTCCTGAAATAAATATATAAAAACAGAATAGGAAAAGGCTTCAATAAACACATTGCTTATGCTTCATTAACCTCAGTCCTCTTTCTTTTTATTTCTAATCAGGCACCATTCATCTAAGTCAAGCAAAGACAAAAACAAGAATCTACAATCCGAATATTTAAGGCCAAATAGTACACTGGTATTTTTCTGTGTAGGATGAGGATAATAGGGTCGGTTTCTTTATCTTCTCTTTGGCTTTGACCTAACTTTTGATGTCTTAAGAATGTGACTCGTGCTGCCTAACTAAATGAATGGGTCATTTACTTCTGTTGATAGGCAATTTTCAGCTCAAACGAAGTCGTATACGGAGAGATATGATGGGAAAAAAATCTGTGGGTGAAATTGATAGATTAATCGAAAAAGGGTATATTATTGTTTGTGATAGTGCTAAAACTAGCTGTGCTAGAAGGTGGGGTGTACAAAGATGGAGCTGAAGGAGCAGAAGAAGTGGTGGAAACAACAACAAGAGAAGCAGAAGGTTGGGCCGGTGGTGGAGGAGGTGGTGCGGGAGCTGGTGTGGGAGTAGAAGGAGCGGGAGCGGGGGTGGGAGTTGGAGTAGCCGGAGCTTGTGGCATCATAGCAACAGATACATGATTTCCAGAGGAGACCAAAGCAGCATGAGTAGATGCTATGATATTATTTGCAGCCTCTCTATATTTATATCTCAGTATCTCATTCCTAACTGCATGAAGTTCGCCCTGTAAAGATTGAACCTGTTGTTGCAATGCTGAAATTGCCCCCATGCATCCGTATACTGGATCTCTTAGTCTCACGTTTGCTTCGTATACCAAACTATTTGCAGCATCAACTCTTTGATTCTCAGGGACCTCCTACAAATTTCAAAGAATTGAAGTAAACAAAACAAGAATTGCAGTGTTTAAATAGTTTCACATATTCAGAAGAAGTTCAATTCGTTAATAACTGTTTCCTAGGATCAAAGAAAAAATTGAAAAGGGAAGAGGAAAAGAAGGTGGAGAAGGAGGGTTTATGTTGGACTAATTTCTCGATTCTTATCTGATATCTAAGATTAAATGGTTTACTTACCATGAGCATCTTGGAAACGTTGCTAGCACCAAAAACTTTGTGAACAGCAGCAAATTTCTGGGGTTCATGTGGGGAAAAATAAGGAGAAAAAGGGCATTCTTCCGCACATCTTCGTCTGAGCAGCTTACAAGCGGCACATGGAGTAATGGTATTCAAGGTTCCTGGAGGACCTAACATGTTTCTCCTTCCCATCTGTGACGATGCATCGAATTCTGTTTTCAACTTCTTTGCTATCTCATCTAATCTCTCCCTGTATATACTTTTAATTCCAAAAGAAATATAAGGGAAAAAAAACACTTAGAAACAGTTGCTTAATTTCGGATTACAGAATCAAGGTTGTATATGTGCCTTATCACCATCTTGATCATACCTTTCTCTGGACATCCAAGAATGCTAGTGTAGGTCACGGCCGGCTTGCAAATTAGATGTGGGGATGGGATTGGGGGAACAGACTAAAGGCGAGGGAGAGAAAGCTTCAACTTTCAAGTTTCAAGGGAGAGGAGGAGAAACGAAAAAGAAAAAGAAAGAAACCAGTTGAGGGAAAAGAGGAGTGCTTAAAAGGCAAGGTATCAAGAAAAAGTAGGTCAATGTTTTTTCATCACAAACTAACAAATTAAGTGTATCTGAGATGGTGAAATATTATACTCCAACCTTATGAGCTAGAGTAAGAATAGGGCGGCCTAAATTAGAAGATCGAGAGTGATGATGGAAAGAAGTGATAATCAATACATCATTGAATTTGAAGATTTGGACAAATTTTTACATTGGCCCCCACGCTCCCTTTGGGGTGTTCCGTCAAAGCTAGCTTGCTTTCCCCCACGTGTGACTTCATATGGCTATTGACTTTTTTGACGGTAGCCAACTGGGGTTTCAGCCTTAGCAATGGACAGATTTTCTTGTCTTAACAATATTCTTTTGTGTTTTTCAACATCTAATTTTAGACGTAAAGAAAACATGATGATCGCTTTGATGAAACAAAGATGACTTAATGTGAAGGTCTAGATATTAAAGGTAGATTTATTGAGGCAGGGTACTGCTAAAGATTTAGTTCCTCCAGGCAAAATCTTTTGGTTTGTTTTCTTTCCTAGTCCGGGTCGATGTCCTAGAACCCACCTCTCATGTGATACATGTCGTGTCGCCTTGAGAAATACAGCAATGGACTTCACGATCTGGAATTTTCAGGCGAAGTACTCCTCCAAGCAACAGAATTAAACCTTTCTCATTGCAAAACGGTAGCATTCATTCATTAGTTTCATAATTTGTAATGTCAAGAAATTGTTTATACGAGGCTCTCCTCCTTTGTTATACGAGGCAGAAATTAGTGTCTAGAAGAAACTGGAGAAGAATTTTATCCTTTGAGATAGACATGTCAAAAATACATTTTCTTTTGGAACTTATTATTTTTATTCTTTTAATAGATTTGCAGTAAAAAGTAGGAGTTTAATAGTTGAGAGATTTTCTGGGTAGTCGGCTTTCAAGAAGAAAAAAAAAAAGAGTTGCTTCGGAAATTCACTGCCAGGCATGACAAAAGTTTTTATTTTTTTTTTCTTATCGAATCCCTATGCAAATGTAGTCGTAGCAAAAAGGGATTTCGTCTAAAAGGTTTTGAATTGCTTGACGGTGTTCACAATTTATACCTAAGCTAAACCCTCAAAACAGTCTATTCTTGAGTAACTATTGACTCGCAAAACGTGTTTAACAGTTTCAGCCACAGCTAATAACTTGTACTAGCGCCATCCACATCTTTGATCTAAGCTGTCATTCGTGGGTGGCATGTCAAGGTAAGAAAGGACATATACCCAGAATCTTGTAATGAACAAGGTTCTTAACTAACTTATATATCTTTGATCTTTAATTACCCCAAAAAAAAAAAATCTTTCTGGGAATTAGATAAATGAAGCGTAACAAAGTAGGATGCAAGTCCACATATCCGAGGGCATACAATGGCTGAAGTTCTTGTAAGAAAAACAACCTTTTGGCTTGCATGTACGCCCATGAGGGGAAAAAAGAGAAGGTAAAACATAAACTGTTATTAGTGTATAATATCTACGAGATTCCATGTGTATCGTTTGTTTCATATCAAAGGAAAGGAAGTAAAACCTACTTTGCTACAACAAGAAGCAATACACATACCTTCAATGTTAAAGGCAACCTAAAAAGAAAAGAAATTACCGGTCAGAGGTTTTTCTAAATTTGGGTAAATAATTACTTTCAAGGTTAAAGTATATATTAAACTTAAACAGTTTATACTGTTCAAAGAAAACTAGAGAAAATTTTTTTAATTGGCTTCAATTAATTAGTGTATTGTTTTGTCGAGTTCTCGAAAATTCCCCAGTGTACATGATTCCAGTGAAGAGTAAAATAGGTGGGCAAAAAAAAAAAAAAAAAAAATGAGGGCATGTCCAGTGAGCGTCAAAGTGGTGGGTTGAAGTTGGCCAGACAAAAACTCAACTCTCGCGAAAGTTGGCATCACAGAGTAGGTGCAGAAAAGGAGAGACACCAGTAAAGGGTATATATGACCTGACATAGATGAGGAGTAGGGAATGGAAAATGGAGGGTTGGTTTTGGAGCATTGGAAAGGATAAACAAATCCCCATTACCCATTTGCATATGCTTGCAAGTAGTAAATACTAATGGCTAGTGTGATGTAAAGACTTGCTTTAAATGCAAGGCAATGCAGCGATGCGTTTTATCGTTTGACCCGTATTTTAAGCCTAGGAAATCGCAACCTTGTTTCTTCCGAATACATTACATTGGCCCCCTCATACCTATTTATCTATATGTTTTCAGAACCGGACCGGATATCGACTCGGTCGAGCTTAAGGGTCAGGGGTCAATGGATTGAACCGGATTCGATAGGGGTTGAACCGGATGACGTCATAAATAAAATTTATTTAAAAATTAAAATATTATATGTAAAATACTTAATAACATGTTAATATTAATAAAGGTATATTCATATATATTTGATGTTTCAAATATATTTAATAAGAAAATACAAATAAATTAGAGCAATCAAGTAGCAATTTATATTTTTTAATAAGGATTAACAAGTTTAGAATTAAAACTATGGACTTAATTGAAAAATAACACCAAACTTTAAGACAACATTTATAAAGTATGAAATATTTGAGGTATGTTAATAATTTTTAACAACTTAAGGATCAAAACATCATATTAAAAATATTCTGACCATTAAAAAAAAAAAAAAAAAAAAAAAAAAAAAAAGGGAGATCGGGTTCATTTTTCCGGTCAAACCCGGTTTTTGACCTGATTTGACCGAGTTTTTGATTTTTCGGTTTTTAGGATTAACTCGGACCGGCCAACTGGACGGTTCCCGGTTCGATCGGCCGATCTGGTGCGAGTTTAAAAACAGAGCTATTTATATTTAACCAGCTAGCTTTGACCACCACATATATTGTATATTGTGGGGATGGATTCAAACCTTACTTTCCGTCAAAATTGTCACTTAATATATATTCTCTTCAATTTATATGGGTGCGTAATGCATTCGTATAGTTATCGTGAGTTCTTCGTGATCGTGTTAGATCAATCTTCCTGTAATAGATTAGCATGGGAGTAGAAATAAGAGTATGTATAGATTTAATCTGAGTAAGCATTTAAATGTAGAGAAAGTGTTTCTGTGCACTAATGTAATAAGTTAGCTGTAATTTAGATTGGTTTACAGGCACCAATTAGAAAATTTTATATTGTTTTTAATTATTTCATACATTAATTTCATCTCACAGACCAAAACTGTTAGACTGGCATCAACAGCCTCGACGAGAATTACCTCTCGTTTGTTTCAGATTCAACATTACATATTTATTTTGAGATTTACGCTATGTAAATTTTTTTTTTTGGGGTTGCACAAATGCATTCTGAATTTCTGATCATTGGATAATTATTGTGGAAATAACACGTCAAACTTTAAATTTAAAATTGTTGCTATTTTTCAGTGAAATATATGGGCTCCCACGGACTCCACAGAAAGGGATCGAACGGCCCTTTTGGTAATTGTATCACATAAGCAAACGAAAAGGAGAAATTATATTTAACAGGTAGCAACCGTCGTCACTTGGCCCTTTGCATTGTTAGGCCCGCTGAATTGATACGGACAATTCTGGCCCACTAAGCCGGTCCAGTGGCATAGTCAAAAGAGAGATTTAGGTGCCCGAGTTTGTTGTATCACAATAACAAGCCCATATTGTAAACGCCATTTTATAGGTAAACGCCATAGGACCTCTACTTTTTTGAATAGGTAAATATATAAGTAATGAATCCAAATCAGAAGCTTCCGTCGACTGTTTGGGCTCCATTTTTTTGAATGTCCCCTCCCCATTATTCACGTGCTCTCCTGCTGCCTGTATATTGTACAACACACGAATTGAAAATCTGACAGCAGGTGGTCCGAAGCACTCGTACCGGTGTAAAATTCATATCACCTGGATGTATTGCTACTTGGAAAGCGGAAACCTACAAGATCCACACTACTACGCAGCAGCACAAATCTTGCCGATCCGAGTAGAATTAGAATGCCGATGGGGTTGTGCCCTAAACTTTTTTGTTTAAGATTAAATCTGTTTTTGCCTCTTAAAATGTCATCATCCAGAAATCTTGGACATAAACTTTAGTTTTTGAATCTTAATGAGATCAATAGTAGATCATCATTTGAATTAAGGTTGTGATGCAGCATTTTGGACTCTGATGAAATCCTGGAGTTTTTATACAAAATATTTTGTCATTCAGCTTTGAATTGCATAACCCCCTTGGTGGGGCACCAAATTTCGCTCTTGCTTATGCCCTTAATGGCAATGCAAGGCCACAGATCAACCTGCTTTTACTACAGACTGAAATGCGATTCTCATAGGCTTTGTTTAGCCTTCCTTCATTTCCGAATTTCAACTGGGCAATTGAAGACACAGAAATGAAAGATGTCAACAGCGTTACAAGAAAACTTTTCATTTCAAGGTTTCCCGAAAAGAGATCGAGCACAATCTCTAAATCCTAATAAAAACTGAAGGAGAACTGGAAAGCAGAGCTGTAATAACTTAGTGATTGCTAGTGCCATTATGTTTCTTGAAAATTACTAGTACATGACAGTGCTATCTTACATGCTACCACATACTTGATTCCACACACTTTTTTGAACTGAAGAGCAGATTTGTAGCAATAAATTGTAGTAGTACGTAGCTTCCCAAAACAACAAGGGCTATGAAGAATCGATCATGCAGATTCTTTTAGCAATAAATTGAGCAGATTAGCAGAGCCGCGGCTCGGCGTAACACTATTGGAGGAGCAACGGCCGCCTACACCGCCAAAGCAGAGACTTGAGACATGGAATACATATCCCTCGTCTTCATCACCTTCAACATCTTTCCCCCATGAGTGAAAAGACAATTTTCTACGTTGTTTCCCGCCTGCAGGCTTTGGAGTAAAAGGAGATGAGCGAACTGAACGCGAAGAAGACCATGGAGAG